CCTAGTACCACGACCCCTTCTAAACCCAGCCTGGACTTCTGGCAGTTCTCTGCTGATGTGCTGTTTCAGTCGTTTTTGGATAATCTTCAGTAGAATCTTGCTTGCATGTGAAATCAATGAGATTGTCCTATAGTTTCCATCTACATATAGAACATCTATAAGCAAGATTTCATATGAAGGGGTCTTACTCATTTTGTCACAGTTCTTAAATCATCCTAAAATGTACTTGTTAGTATTTTTTACAAATACATAAACTTTTGTATCTTTTTGTATATTTTAAAGTGCATACAATTTATATAGAATTTTGAGTTATTAAATCTCAGTGACTCTTTGGAGATTGCCTAGCTCTGACCTATAATTTTATAAATGAGGAATTGATGTTTATAGAGTGAGGGTTGATGTTTGTAAGGGGATACAGTTTACCCAAGGATAAAGCTCACTACATAGTTGACACACAATGAATACTTGGGGAATATGCAATGAATAAAAATGGCCGTTGAATGAGTTGATGACAGAGCTGGGAGTAATTGCAACCTCTCTTCATCACAACTAATATTGTTTCCTGCCACATGTCACTCTGCTAGTATATTAAGCTAATGATAACTGGACCTATAGAAGTCCAAAAGAAAACAAACATAAATACTCCAAATTGCTTTTCTGACATTGTATTTGACATATTTACAGCTGAAGGCAGGTACAATCTTTACACACCGGATGGCAAATATATCTTCAAGGAAAGAGAATCATTTGATGGACGGAACATTTTAAAGGTCAGTATGAAACAGAGTGAGTTGGAAATCCTTTGGCACGTGTTGTGAATAAAGGAGGAAATACAAGTCATCTCCCTATAACAGCAGAGTATATTTTCTTTGTGTTTCCCAAGAGGATTATTGATTGAAAAAGTGGTTAATCTTTTTTTTCAGTGTTCAGAAAGAAAACAGATATTATCTTGACTCTGTATAAAGTCCATAGGCCTCTAGAGTACTTGAAATTTAAAATAATTTTACCCTAATTACTCAGATTTGTACAAATAAGGTAAATTTTTTAAAATGACATTGTCTAATCAACCCCTTATTGTGGATTGCCTTTCTCTAAGGGGATTTTTTAATGTGGTGAATTTTGTTTTATATTTTACCACTAGATGGTTAAATCTGCATTTTTTTTCAAGTGAAAACAAATAGTTTGTTTTTGTTCTAGTAGATTTTCTCTGCAGCCATCTAAGTCACTTTATAGCCTATTTTTACTCTATAACAACGTATGTCCTAAATAGTGGCCCATTTCTGACTTGAGACTTTGCTTTTCTGAGTGTTGAATTAATCTATGAAACTTAAATAAAAGGTGTTTTTCTGGGTTTTATTTATCTTTCTCCCACAGACCACATTCTGTAATATCCGAAAGTTGTGCTTTCCTTATCAGGCTAACATGCCATGTGCCTGTGGGCAAGAAGAAACAAGTTGATATTATTGGAGAGGTTTTTTGATTCTTCATTTCACTTGTTTTGTAATAGGCTAAGTCAAACGTTTTCAAGGCCAAGGGTGTTTTGAGAGTTGAGAGAGAAGATAAATATAAGAACTTCAGAATAAGCCTCAATTTTAGAAATGCATTTTCTTTGCCTTCTCTCCCTCATCCTCCTTTCCTTTAACCTGTCACTTAACAGTTTTCTTGCCAAATGCCTGCTGTGACAGCATTACCTGTAATGATTGACACTACCCTTCAGCAGCTGTGAGCGTTTCACACAGAGCCCCACATGGCAGTGACAGCCAGTCAGTGGGGCAGACTTTCCAGCTTCACGGTGCTGCCTTGGTTTCCTCCCTTCCTTTGGAATCTTGTAAATGGAGTTTTCTTTTTCAAATTCCTTTTGATCGCTTCAAGTCTGGGTAGTAGCCTGCTAGTGAATTCCGCTGGCAGTTAGTTAACTTTACCAGGTTTCCCAGGCCACAGCTTCCGTGTCGTTTAAGCATATTCTCTTTTTTCCTCCTCCATCTCCCTCCCCTGAGGCTTTTCTAATAATATCATTAATTAGTTTGCTTTTTTGTCACCATTCTTTTGATTCAGAAATACGATAGTGTGTGAGTGGGGGGAAGAAATCTGTAGGAATGACTCAGGAAGAATTGATTTGGTTCTCTTGGAATTAGAATTAAACCCCAAAAGGGTGTTTGGTACAACTCAGATGTGAGATGCTTTGACTTAAGAGTAAGGTGCTAACTGAGATCTCACATGGTCACTCTGTGAGCTGTATGGTCTCTTCTTTGGTATTTACTTCTCTCATTCTGAAAAATCAGTTTTCCATTTCAAAATGCTTTGCCTGGTCCTCCAAGACCTGCCAGTGATGAATGAATTTAGCTCCCTCTAGTGTTGGCAATGCTGAAGGATTTGAGCTGCAATACTGAAGGATTCTATGGGAAAACATTGAATGATGCAGGAATGATGCATCAAAAGAAGATGGAAAGAACACAAGGAGTCACTGTACCAAAAAAGAATTGATAAACACTGAATAATCTTAAGAAGTTGCTTAGTGGAGTGCATTTGGGGTGGGGGTTGGGGTGAGGGGAGTAGGGTCAGGGCCAGGGGGATTATATACCAACGAAGTTTATCTTTTGCTTTTCAAAGAGAGGAGCGAACTGTGGGGGAGGGGGATAAAGAAATAAGTGCAACAATGAATGAATGAAAATCCAAAATCTCTCTAAATGTTCATTAAAATTAATAAAATAAAATTTAAAAAAAAGGAAGTTGTATATGATCAAAAAACCAATGGTAATGAGGAAGAAGTTCAGGCTTCACTGAAGGCATTGACAAATAGCATGGCCCCAGGAATTGACTGAGTAACAGTTGAGGTGTTTCAGCGATCAGATGAATCTCTGAATGTGCTCTCATTAGCCTATGCCAAGAAATTTGGGAGAGATTTATATTTGTTCCCATTCTACACAAAGGTGATCCAAAAGAATGTGGAAGTTACCAAACAATAACAGTAATATAAAAACAAACAAACAAAAACAGTAATATCACATGCAGGTAAAATTTTGCTGAAGATTATTAAAAACAGTTGGAATAGTCCATTGATTGAAGACTCGTCAACTTTTGTTATGCAGATGACACAGCTTGCTTGCAGAAACTGAAGATTTGGAAGCACTTACTGCACTAGGACAAAGCCTTCAATATGGATTATACCTTAATATCTGGAAAGCAGAAGTTCTCACCACTGGGCCAGAAGGCAATATCATGGTTGAAAAGAGGAGAAAAGATTAAAGCTGTCAATGTTTTCATTTAACCTGGATCCACAGTCAATGTCCATGGTAACAGCCATCAAGAAACCAAAAGATGTATTGGTATTGGGAAAATCTGCTATCGAGGACCTCTCTAAAGTGTGAACGAGCAACAGTGTCTGTTTAAAGGCTTAACATGCGCATGTGCACCTGCTCCAAATCAGGGTGTTTTCAGTTGCTTTCTATGCATCTGAAAGGTCTTCGGTGACTGAAGATGACAGAAGAGTTGGTGCTTTTGAATTGTGGTGTTGTAGAAGAGTACTGAATATCCATGGACTGCCAAAAGAACAAACAAATATGTCTTGAGGGAAGTGCAGCCAAGGAGCTATTTCAAAGCAAGGATGGAGAAACTTTGTCTTACATACTTTGGGCATGTTGTGAGGAGGGGCCAGTCCTTGAACAAAGACATCATGGTAGGAAAGGTAGAGGGTCAGAGAAAGGGAGATTCTCAATAAGGTGGATTGACACAGTAACTAACAATGAGCTGAACATGTCTGAGATTGTGTAGATGTCACAGGATAGCACATGGTTTAGATCCGATGTTCATAGAGTCGCTGTGAGTCTAGTCAACTTGACATAGCTAACAACAGTGTTGACAGGAGCTTGCTACATCATAAGCCCATATGGTTCATGTCTACTAAGAGTAATAGAGCTGGACTAGCAAGGCTAGGACACTAGTAGAGTTGGTTATCATTTAGTCCAGTTCCTCACTTTAATCTCTAAGGATATGGTACAAAGTGGTTATAATGACTCACCAGCTAGTTTGTAGCAGTCTGAACCAGGTCCAAGAGACTCACAACTTGCAAATTTAACATTGTTCTCATTGCTTCTTATAAAGATTTTTTAATGTTTACGTAGAGTTCATTAGGTATTTGAAATAGAATTTGTCTATCTAGATTTGTTAGGGCATAAGGAGACCTAGTTAATAAAAAACTGTGGCAAATTAAGAATTGGGCTTTGAGTTTGGTACATACTAACAGCGAAAGAAATACTTACTGACTTTGTATCAGCCAGGTCATGTGCTCTGCAGATAAACAGAGATCCCGTCCCCTCCCCTGCCTCCCAGGAGCTTCCTGCCTTTGTGTGTGCAGGTGGCTAGTAGACAGTTACAGTACAGAGGGAAGGGGACAAGTTACAAGCACAGAGAATGTCTCCAGAGTTCTAGCATAATTTCCTTTAGTCTACTTTCCACTCTTTCTTTCCTTTATTGTTAGCTCTAGAAAAAGATCACCTCTTACCTCTTTTCAATCATGAGAATTAACTTTGTGAGTTTCATCAAGTACCCCTCACCACAACACACACATACAAAATAAAAATTATGTTTGCAAAGTAACTTTAGCCCACCTTTTGGAATTAGCACAACTGCACATGTCTCCCTCTATCAGACTATGAGAACTCAGACAGAGTCCATGAAATCCTTGACATAAAATAGGACTTCTAAAATCTGTAGGTTATAAATAGTTTTTGTACCAAGTAAAATTATTGTGTTCAGAAAGAAGGGGGGGAAATCAGTTTCACTAATAAGACAGAAACTACTTGGATTAAACAGAAAGGTTAAATTAGTTGTTAGAAACACAGGCATATGTGTATCTCATAATAATAGCTACTTAGGTCAAAGATCAGGAATGCTCATGATGGGAAGTAGTGTTGGGGGTGTGAAATCAACTTCATCTACTATGCAAGGAAACAAAAGCAAAAAGGAAAGTCATCGCTCATTGCTGTAGGATTTAATGAGTAACAGCTAATTGCTATTCTGTTCCACAAAGAGAATTGGTCCTGTTTGCTTGGTGTAATATTATGTGCTTTGAGTGCCTTAATAAGGAAAGGAAATAAATCTTTAATGACTAGGAGGTAGAAGCCACATTTTTCTTTGTATAGCTGTTTTGAAAGTTGTCGCAGCTGTAATAGACCAGTGTCTGGTAGTTCCTAGTTAAAATAAGAAATTTGTTACCATAAAAAGGACTTTGAAAGAAGAGCTCAAGAAGTAAGAATCATTTTCCCCTGTATTTCAAGCCAGAAAAAGAACAAAAATATTTAGTTAAGATTTTCTTGAAAACAGAACTCTGACAGAGTCTGAGTGAAGACCCAGGCCAAATAAATAGGATAACATCCCCTCAGAGGATTTCTATTTCCAGTCTAAGAGATAGCAGTGATAAGCCTGTAATTGGAGAAACATGCCTATCTAAAAACATCCACCAGGAAATAATTATTCCTCCACTTGCTAGAAGTAGAATGATCATTAACTGTCAGCTTCTGGAGAGAAGTGGTCTTAATAACAATCCATTTAGGGGACTTATGACATGACTTTAAGCAGTAGAATCAATATTTCAAGACTGTGCTATCAGTAGATTGAACTGGGCTACATTCTTACTGTGCAAAAGCATAGCTCTGAACTGCAGTGTGAAGCAGAGAGATTAGAGCCCTGGGTGGTACTTACAAGAGTGGCTCATTTGGTACAAATCAAGGCATAGTAATATATTTTAGAAGAAATAGAAAGTACAGCAGGT